CCTGATCAGGATAGGGATCCCGAAGATCAGGGAGATAGGGGAGAAGCGGGTTGGAGGTCCAAGTCCGGCTCACCGGAAGGTTGTGTGAGGCGTCGAAACACATTCAAACATAGTTGTTTTCGTTAGATAACGAAATAATACGGCACAACACAGTAAAAGGGCGCCTCCCGCAACTTTTCACAACATAGGATTGTTCTACATAATTTATTTTGATTAGGTTGGTGTGATTTAATTAGTATTTCTGAGCATTCAAGACACCTAATTGTGCCGAAGCAGCAGTTTAGAACATTTCTCTCCACAATATGCATATATGATCCTACATATTCAACATTCAATGGTAGTCTGAGAGCAGGCAGTCCCCATTTTATATAAATGTCTTGAATTAAATGGTAAACGGCAGTTTGATTATCTAGAAAGCAAAGGCTGTTTACCGGATAAATGACACTTGGGACATTATTTGACTGCAATATGGAGGACAAATCCCTGCGATGGACCCATCAATTTTCAAAATGACTGCTTTGCTCAACATAACGCGAAAACAGTTGCATGTTGGCCACATGCAGGGAAAACTTAAGCCGATTTGAAGTTCTTGTTGTGCTAGACAATACACACCGCAGTGGTTACGGTCACACATTCGCATACACTATTTCCTCTAGAATTTTCACGCATAATAAATAATGGAAATATGCATATGCACATTCATCACTCACGCTAGTGACTCACGCATCAGATTAGCATTAAGTACTCCCTGCAATCATAGTTGCAAGGAAGCGCTAAACCACATTTACCGTTATCATAGATGTGGACATGGGAGGGATAGAATACCAGTGCTTTGCCCTCACATACTTACAAAGAACAAGCCAACTATTGCTGTTGGTGAGGACAGTGGAACGCCTAATCACAAGCACAAGTCCCATCATAACAGATCAAAAGGTCACGACGGCTGTGGCCACGATTGAAATCCTTGTTTTAAAACCTCACATGTTTTTTGCGCACCACTCACCCGAAGCTCACCCGTGTCTCACCCGGCACTCACCCGTGTCTCAAACTGCCATCAGGCAAATTCCAACAAGCAAAATCGCCAGAGTGATCCAGTTTGTCCTTGGCCCCTTTGCTGCAAAGGAAAGATGTAGCCAGAATGAATTTGGGTGATATACGGATATACTGTCCTATCTAAAATGGCGTTCCTAGTATTCACTTTCAATTATTGTTGCAATGTATCAACTTCATTATTTCCATTACCACCATTATATGCATCACCTGCTTTAGTATCCAATACTGATATTTAGCCATCTCAATTCGTGGCTGTCCCGAAGTGCTACACCTTGAACAATGTCTCTCATCGCGTGTTAGACAATGCAGCAGTATGCGAAATATTGGCGACAGGGTTAACGAATTGTGATCCAATTGTCGGTCGGTTTCGTGAATGTCCAGCACAAGATCATCGTCGCCTGGGATTTACGCCCTGTAAATCATGAGTGCCTTAGTATCCACCTTCCTAGTCAGTATGGAGGATTTGAAGGCGCGTTAGCATCCACCCTCCTGATCTCACCCACCACTCCACCAGTGCTCTTGGCAACGTATGCAGCAGAACAATCGGACATGCTTTTCGCCTTGGCTATTAATTCGCCCGTGTCTTTGCCAGTTTTCAAACACTGTGTCGTTGGAACGCAGAGAGCATTTTCGCATTGAATCGTCCTGCTTCAGAGGCGTTTGCCTCTGCCGAACGTCTGCACTCGAGCCAAAGCCCTCCGCAGCATCGCTCGATGGAATCCCTGCACCACGTGTTCCGAGACATGAGAATGGTGCGCTCAAACGGCATTGAGCCAACAGGATTTTCAATCATCACACCTGCTTCATCAGTATTGTTTTGCCATGATTGTAGGTCCTTGTGCCCGACATCACCAATTTGGTGCAAGGGCTTTTGCTTTGTCACATGACAAATGCAGTGACAACGAGAATGTATGTGGTGGAATTGTTTTCGAGCAAGCATCTACGATCGGCTGTTTCTCGTGAACTGTGGGTGTAGTGCGCGCTGTACTGGGGCGGCGCTGAGTTTTTGGCGCTGCTAGGTTCACCAGCAAAAGGCAGGGAACTGTCAATTCAATTCTCAATTTTAAATGAACTTTCGTTTCAAATTAAAATCAGAGACCCGGAGTGATGGGCTCTTTGCTGCTAGCAACACCATCTCAGGCAAACGCAGCGTTACGGATGATGACTGTAGCGCACATTAGTGGTCATTTGTCCAGAAATTTGTGCAGTATTTACCGCCAAGAATGTATTTGGTGTATCTACATTTATTTGCTACCTTAAGCGTATTAGAACATATTCAGGGCTCCCATTTCTGCACAGTACGTGTCAAACATCAAATTGATGGGTGCTGCTCATGCTGCCGGGAATATCGAAATCTTGCTCAAGACCATGGGTTCAAGCCGTGGCTTGAACCCATCATCATTCACTGCGATAAACTAGATTGACTCCGATTTCTGAGAAAAGCGCACTGGAAGTACATAACAACCTAACAGAAAACAGAACTTCAAATATGTTAGTCGCTGAGCGGATCGTGTTGTCTGAATAATTCCGATATAACTCTGTCGTCAGTGTCTCACAATTCGGCTCTGTTAATTGCATTTATGAAATCAACAATTGATGCTGTATGCAGTTCAAATACATTGGTTTCAAAGCATGCAACTGGTGCACTACCTAATAGTGATATATTTCAAAATTAGCAGGATCGATGCGAATGATGGCTTTATTCTGTACTACGCACTGCAACAGATTCTGACTTTCTCTCTGCTAATGCAGCCCCGGTTAGAAATGTCCGTTAATTGAGAACTTCTCATATGCAGAGGCTTACAATGCAAACTTACATGACGGGTACACCCACAATTTGTTGACGACTCTCATATTCCCACTACCTCTTTGCGACAACAGATACCCCTTGTCGTTGCCGACCGCCGCAATGATGGCTGCCAAGAGAAGCGATCAGCGGAGCAACAGTTGGCGTCGCTGTACGGGAGAAGGATCAACGAGTTGGAAGATGCTTACAGTTCTGAGGTGCGGAAATTTCCTTGTGCCTAATTCTAGTTCGCAGATTATATTTTATAGATAATTTTATGCGCAAAGCTTCCGAGCCTCCAAAACTGCCATCCGAGGGAGGAGAGGCTGTTCCGAGCACGGCCGAAAAAACTGCACGGCCGAGGGAGGCGCGCTTTCCTGGATTCGAGCTGTTTTAAAATAACTGTACTTATTTGTAACAAATTTCAATATTGCATACAGCTCCATTTCAGCAAGAAGAACTGATGCAGACAGTCAGTATTGGCAACAGCTCGTCCGAATGGATGTTTTTTTCTTTTTTGTGTGTGGATTAGAATTATGCATGGAATGGCATTCTATGGGCAGGATATTGTGCAATCAAGAGTGCTGCGTTTTTTTTACTTGCGTCAATGCAGAAAAACAGACAAAAGTACATTTTGACCAGTTTTTGGCTGATCTGATAAGTAAAGAAGCCGAAACTGCAAAAGAGGTAAATGCTAAGTCCCCATGCGAGTAACGCCAAAGTTTCAAGATTCTGTAGAATGCAATTTGGATTCATTGCAGAAATATGACAGCATAGAAAATAAATAGATAAGGGCAATGGAAATATTGGAGAAAGGTGTGCGAAATGGTACTGAGCAGGCTGAATTAGCTCTAGAATATTTTTGCAGTACTTCAAGTAGTTTTTAATTAACAAGTACACTTAATGCAATGAATCAGAGCCACGCCAATCCTATGCTAAAGATCACTGGTATATTCACGTGGCAGGGGTGAAAATCACATACATCTGACATCACAATAGCGTGTGAAAGATACGATCAATTTAAAATGCTGGCAATTTGACTTCGCTGTAGTTCTCTTCCAGAGCGCTACTCTCCTCACTACAGCCATGCACTTCACACAACTGAATAGTCTTTAATCAAAGAATTCCATGCACATGAGCGTGAAGTCCAGGTCACTCATCGCATATTAGGCTCGCGAATGCGCGAAAATATAGATGCCTGTCCCTGAAAAGTTGTCAGCTTGTATCTGTCGTCGCGCAACATTCACCACATCCTTGCAACTGCAGGTGCGACTCCTTAGGAAACAATTGGAGGAAGCCACATCCAGGGCTGTGCGAGCTGAGGCCGCGCTTTTAGCGTTCACAGCGGCAACCGAGAATCAACGGTGCCTGCACTGCGCAGTGACGCGCGTCGCGGTTTCCTGTTGCCAAGGCGTCGGTTTAGGTGCTCCGCTTCGGCGAGAGGAGACCTCGGTGCGCGGGGCCAAGAGGCGCAGGAACGACGGGCAAAGTCGCTCATGAGCCACATCCTGGGCTGCCCAAATCAAGAGGAGAAAAGTAATCGAGAGCGGTCATGCGACTCGCTTTTCAGAAAAGGGACGCAGAAATAGGAACGTGCCAAATGTCGGCGGTGGGATTTGCACCCATGGGTGCCGCTGTTTTGTTTGAAGATGGGAGCCGCCGATATTCTCAGACGTTTATTTTGCGCACATGAATTTATGCGTTACGCTTTACGACAAGGCTTTGTCACGTGGACCAACATGGCGTCCTGGGTTTTTGAACTTCAATGCAGCGAGAGTACACTTGAACAGGAGCACTCTACAAAATTCATTCTTACATTGATATCAGGAAAATTTGACCCCGCATTCCGCAAGTGCTCACCCAAGTTATTGCTTCAACCCAATCAATAGAACTTACATGTCATGTATCGGATTTCAAATGCGAATTGCAGATGGCCCTGGATGATGCCCCCTGAACTTTTGAATTGCTGCACGCATGAACAGAATTCAAAAATGCCATCAGGTGTCCATTGCACGAAGGGCTAAAATGCGAGCGGGAACGTGTCCATTTCCCACCATCAATCTCGTGCGAGATTGAAAATGCGCATTTTCAACACTGCCACCGATTGTTCCCGTCCCAGAGGGCCGCCGCAATGGCAAAGTCACGCCAAAGCTTCCCCGAGTTACACAGCAAATTCCATGACCCGAGCGAAGGCGAGCCTTGTAGCCACTCCCCCCTTTCTTCCGCGCATGTACCGCACATTGGTTTGAGATACGAACAGCTCTTCGGAAAGGGCTTCTCGCTCCGCCCTGAGCCTCTCACAAGTCTCGCGGGCTCTGGCAGCTTCAGCCTCGACAGAATGCCGCTCCTTTAGAGCGCTTCGAAGTTCCTGGCTCAGTGAGTCTGTGGCAGACTCCAGAGCGTGGCGCATGTCCTGGAAGGTAGGACACCAAATTACTTATCTTTCCACTTTCATTTCAGAAAACAGCGCGATGTAACGAAAATGCGCAGGCATTGTTATTGAAGGGAAAGGCATTGGATTAGTATACTAGAGTCCTTAGCACTTCTTGTACTTTATGGTGCATACCCCGAATCGAAATATATGCAAATGACAAGGAGCTCGTAGAAAAGTGTGCGAGAGGTAATGCTTTCTGGCAAAGCAATGCAACTACAACAGATACACGAACAAAAAAGGCGGGGCAGGAACCTGTGCTCTGCCCAAGTCACTTTGTTTCACCGAGCATAAAGGACGGATGGAGGCATTATATCGGCAGTATGGCCAGCGACACCTTTCGGAAGACATCCAAAAAAGTAGCCTATTATGTGCGGCGCTTGTTCGACTCTTGCTGCCGAAAAGCACGCTGTCCAGGGTTTCTTGGCAGTTTCTCCTATCGGGAGGCTCGCGGGGCATGATCATGCACACACCCATGGAAGTTCTTGATCTTTCGCGTGCACGCAATGGCTTTTTTCATTTCGCGTCATGCTATCCTCTTTGCATTTAACAAGCTCACGAGTACGCGGTTCTGATATGGATATCAGGACTGTATAGATAGATACCTAGATACCTAGGTGCAGATATATAGATATGGATATGCAGATATCAGGAATATCCAGATAGATGAAACGCATTTATCAGAAGTACTCTCGGCTCGTTTGGTGCGAGAATCCAGCCCTCCCGACCTGGACGGTGTTGGAGGAGTTCCTCTTCATCTTTTCCGTGGCCTTCCTCTGCTCTCCCAGATCCTTACTCAGTTGCCGCCCCTCCGACTTTGCCTTCTCAAGCTCGGCCTCCAGCTTCCATATCCTCCGATCCTTGCATCTGCTCTCGAGCTCCCTCGTAGCGCCGTGAGCGTCTCTTTTCACTGGCAAAAAGCAGGCCAATATACATGGTTTTGAAAATCGCGCATCGTGTAACACAATTAAGAATATTTTAAAAATATTGCATTTATCGTGCATGTATCGTATATAAATTTAGCGTAGTAACGATTGAATGAGTGCACATGAATTTCACGTTCTGACACGGCTTTCCACGATTCTTGCGCGGTTTGAAACCGTGTATTTTGGCAGATTCTCCCTTGTGTTTAACGCGCTACTGGCTCGCCTCACCACCGAGGGAGGCGGATGCGAGGCCGTGCTCCATCAGCGTTGCCCTGGCCTCACAGAGCTTTTCCTTGAGGTCCATGTTCGCGTCCTGGCTCTTCTGAAGGTCTCCTCTGAGGCGGAAGAGCTGCAAGTCCAGGCTGTCCGACCTGTGAGCCTCGCTTTGCAGCTCTTCCTCCTTCGCTGCCTGACGCCAGTAGAAACCGTGGTTTTGAGTTCCCGCTACCATACCATTTGATAATATTTTATGCCATCACAACTGCATGAGCGATATCGCAGTTGATTCTATGGCTCTTCTTTGTGTGAGAATGGCATCGCAGTTGGCGTCCCCAACATGGTGCTTTCTGGTAGTGTGAGAGATGGCCCATCCGAAGGAAAATCGCTTCCGTTGGAGCGCGGTTACCGCAGTACATCCATCTTTCCGCATGGACCTCGTTGAGCATGGAAATAGTCACAGATTTGAAATGGAATCGACAATGGGCGCTCTCGGGACGATTAGTTGGCAATCAACCATAAATGGGTCTCGGCGTGGAGGCAAGCGGCATTGCTCGCCTCCCGGCGCACACGGGGCCAAGCAATGGCATTTGTTTTGGGGAGCTGTGTGGCGATGTAGCCCGTGTTGTTAGTGAAAATTTCAGTTCAATTCGTTTTGTGGGAAGTATGCCATGCTTACAATAAATTTGATAAGTTGTCAAATGCAGGATTGGTGACTTTATTTTGAGCCGGATTGTTAGATAGGCAACCAAAAGATCACCCACTCTGTCCCTCTTCGCGCACGAGGCCGCGTTTCTTTGCCTCGAGAGCTCTTTCTTGGCCGCAGCTAGTGCTTCTTCGGCCTGCCGCGACTTGTCTAAGAGCCTCTCGTACTCCTCGCAAGAGTGGCTGGACTTTTTCAAACGATGTAGCTGCGTTCGGAGGTGTTCCTTCTCTTCTTCGATGGATACGACCTCCCGTCGAAGTATCTGGATGGTGGATTTGTCTTCTTGCGTCTGATTTAAAATATTTTAAATACATTAATGTAAGTGTTGGATTTGCACATAAATGGTAACTGGTTTTGCTCAATCCCAGTTCAACTCTTCCTTGCTGAAGCTGCCAATGTGAGCTGACAGAGATGCAGAAATTTTAGTGTTTTCAATAATGTACTACATTGCTATTAAGATAAAATTTGCTTTTTGCTCAACATTCCTGCATACAATGCCGCAAATATTTTACAGCAGTACAGAACACAACCGAATCACATTGCGATTCGGCGCCTTAGTTCGTGCATGTTTTCCCACTTCATTTCCTTCCCCATTGAAATTTTAATGACGCTAACGTCACAATCTGCCAAAAACTATGCTTCGGCAGTGCTCCACGTGTTTAACTGAATTGAGCTATGTACGTTTAGCAAAAGCCACGCAAGCCTAAGCAATAATGTGGAAAATGCACTGAAAATCGAATTCTGAGAATACTCAAAAATATTAGTAGTCCAATACGTATACAATTGATGTCTTCTTTCTGTTCTAATTGAAGTCCATTTGTATTGTAGACATCCCCTCGAAGAGAGACACGGAGACTTAATCCTAGGTAAGATAAGTACAAGCATCAAAATTTTGAACAATCTGGCGTGTAACAGAATTTCGCATTGGGCGCGAAGCGGTTGCTATCTTTGGGGCATGGCTAAATTACCATTGGTAAGTGAGCATTTATTCCAGCACAATAATGTGCTGGAAAAGGACTCTGTGCATTGCAGAGATTTCAACTGCTTTGCGAAATAAAATCCCAGCAACATGCACAGGAGATTACTGCAGTGGAATGAGAACAGGGTGCAAATGCGCTGATGTGTTGAATCATGCACACCCCTGGCTCACCTGTCGGAGGGAAATATCCAGCTCCGTTGATAGCAGCGCCTTGGAAGACTTTTCTTCCGCCAATTCAGATTCGACGTCCATTATGTGGAGCCTCAGTTTTGCGTTGACCGCCTGCAGCGATTCTGCGCCGCATTGCAGAAGTGCCCTTTCCGGGCGCCTGGTGGTAGATGCAGTATCACTTAGAAAAGGAGGTGGTGGTGGGAAGTCCTGTGCAAGAAAGCAGAAATGTACTGTGGATGAATTAGATCATGTGGCCGACGTTTGTCTCCCATGTTCAATGAAATTCGGCCGAAATTTTCGTCCAAATCAGTTACTTGCATTCCATGCAATGTAATCCTGATTCGTCGTTGCTCTGTGATTTGCATGCTATTGGCGGCCGCGGACACGACCTCGCAAACGCGATCACACTACTTGAGCCCGTTCAAGCATATACGTAAAAAACTTAAAATTTTTGAAATTCTTAAGGCTTAAAATTCTTTTGTTTCACTTGATTTTAAAATTTCACACATAATTTGCAGCAGGTCGAGTGCCAATTTCGAAATTGGCAATGAATTCCTTGCCAATATGCTGCCTGAATCCAATTTTTCATGCAACAACATCATTCTCATTGGTATTTGCTCTTCATGTACTCCATCTTAAAACACATGTAACTCCAATGGCAAAGGAAATTGGCAAGCGAGGAAGTGCTTATATTGGGGATTTATCTGCAGCGATTGCACAGGGGGCAATGGTCTCCAGCAAGTACCGTACCATTCTCTCGGGCCGTCGCTTTGTATTGAATCGATTAATCCTAGTAGTTTATCGTAAAGCGCAAGAACCCTCGAGCATTCTTGGTGTTTACGGCGTAAACACATTTCAGTTTATGGCTATTTACGCGTAAGTATGGTTTTTGCGTTCTTGCGCATAGTTATTCAATAAAATGTGCAGAAATGGGCACTTTGTACTTAAAGACAGTGACGCATGTATATGCAGACTCAATAAGTTCGATCAGTGGAGATTAGATCCGCTGATGCGTGCATAAATCGACCTGTTGCTTGACGACGCCGTTGCCCTTGCTGACGACGAGGTGGAAGCTTTGTTGGCTGCGCTGGAGAGGGTGGAGGACTGATCATTGTTTGGGATATCATAATGTAAATCTGGGCGCGTAAAATAAATGCGTAAATGTGGCCGCAAAACTGGCCGTTTCTGTATTGAAGCGCTTCTGCGCATAAAGAAATAAACGCAGAAATGGAGCCGCAAACGTAAATCCCAAGCCTGCCCGCGGGCGAGCGCGCGTCACCTTGCTCGGCGGCGACTGCAGTTTTGACATTTCGCACAGGAGCGAGGCGTTCTCCAGCGCAAGCTGCTCATTCATTTGATGGAGCACCGACATCGACACGCTGTTGGTCATGGATTTAGACCTCTTTAACGGACCAGTTTCAACAGACGTGCCTGCAACAGAATTGCAGCTGCAGAAAAGTATGTGAATAAGCAGACTCTGAAATTGAGCATAGGGTTCCCACAGCGGACTTCTTACGAGCGAGCGAAGAAAAAAGAACAATACTACTAGTATATGAGATACACATATTCTAAAAGTTATCATTTTTAAATGAAAAAAATCATTCCTAAAAGGGAAAATGCTGTGAAAGATCCAAATTTAACATAAAGGTGCAAAGAAAAGATCAAATTTGCAGTCTGAAAAAACATAGCTATCTTACTTCCACCGGAGACTCAAAGGGTGCTCGGTGTACTTGGATTAGGAAAGGCTATAAAAGCGATGTTTGATGACGCGCAAGGGTAAACGTTGATTAACTGTGGGTACTTGCAGAAAAATTGCGCCAAAATACAATGTCTATATGCTCAATGCTACGGTGAATTCAACTGCAATATTACCATGCTTTGGAGCCGTTATACTTAGATCATGACACATTTTCTTTCACATGCTTGCCTTCAACCCGTGAAAGACAACAATAATCATATAAATAAGATGAAAAACATTTGACAA